CCCCCCCCCCCCGCGAAATTTTCAACCCCTCCCAAAAGGATTTTCTGGCTATGGCCCTGAACATAACTACTTTTTAATTTAGAAGATAACATAGGCGAACTATACGGTATCTTTATTTTGTACCATGGTACATGTTACAACGGCTGTGAAGGCGGAAGAAGGCTGCAACAGATAGAGAAGCCACCATCATCATGTTAACCATGCCACTGGATGGGACCTCACTCTGTGAGGACTGTGTGTTGACCAGCTGTGCACCAGCCCCCATACATTAAAAAAACTCATGCACAGGCACAAGAAAAATAAAAACAAACCAACAGACACCGAGAACTGGGAAGGCTTGGTCCCTGAGCGCTCTAGCTGGAGGTCTGCTGTGACCAGCAGTGCTGTAGAATTCGAAGAGGCACGAATGGAGGGTGAAAGAGATAAACGTGCCAAGAAGAAGGTGTGTGAAGCCAACCCTGACAGGGACTGTCTTCCACCTGGAAGCCGATGCCCTCACTGCAGGAGAACATGCAGGTCAAGAATAGGGCTCCACAGTCACCTATGGACCCAATGCCAGGACACCGAACTTGGAGGACAATCTTACTCAGACAACGAGAGATTGCCTAAGTAAGTAGTAGTATATATATTTTAACAATTTAACAAAAAGGAGATAGAATATTTCATATGCAGTCGCCCTCGTCCCCGACTTGTATCCGCCATTCCTTTCCCCCTATTTTCCCCCTCCCCTCTCCTCCCATTCATTCCCCTCGTTTTTAGTGAATGAACTAACCTGAGTTTTTCCACCTGACTTCTCCTGAATAACAGTTGTAGAAATAGAACAGCTGACAACAAAGCTCTTAAAAAATGAACTGAAGATATTGCATAGGCCAATTGCCATTAAATCCTGTATGTGATAAATGAAAATGATTCTTGGGTCAGATTATTATGATAAAAATTGATACGCATGAAGACTGATCCATTTATAGGGTGCAAGGATAATGCACAAATACCTGAAAAAACATAGAATCATAGAACTGGAAGAGACCTTGTGGGCCTTCCAGTCCAACCCCCTGCCAAGAAGCAGAAAATCACATTCAAAGCACTCCTGACAGATGGCCATTTAGCCTCTGTTTAAAAATCTCCAAGGAAGGAGCCTCCACCACAGTCCAAGGCAGAGAGTTCCACTGCTGAACAGATTTCACTGCTAGGAAGTTCTTCTGTGAGAGCTGTTCAAAGCYTATCATTGGCTTTTAGTGTCTTCTCCAACCTTAGGCTTTTGGATGCTTTGAATTTCAACTCCAATTAACCCTAAACAGCYTGGATAATGATTAGCATGGGAGCAGTATTCCCAAAATATTTGGAGGGCACCAGCTTGGAGAATCCTCTTTTGAAGAAAAAGTAAGAATTTTGATAATGAGAATTATGTACCTGTCATTCGCAACCATGCATTGACCCCCGTGGCCTGTAAAATGTATTAAACTACTAGCAGAAGAAGTAAWTTTTTTTCTCCCTCTTTCTGACTTTTTTCTCTGAAAGCTCCTTCCATTATCTGGGTTACCATCTAGATGTACTAGAAAATTATAACTGAAGGGATAAATTATATTTATGAGGAAAAGCAACCTTATCCTGTTAGGACCTGTCAGTGAGACTTGTGGCCTCTATTAATGCAATGGAATTCATGATCCCAAAGCTGGGTAAGTAGGTACTATATGACAGGGAATAATATATAAACTGAGYGCCCTTCCACACAGCCATATAACCCAGAATATCAAGGCAGAAAATCCCACAATATCTGCTTTGAACTGGGTTATCTGAGTCCACACTCAGATAATGTGGGATTTTCTGTCTTGATATTCTGGGATATAGGGCTGTGTGGAAGAGCCCAGAAAAAGCTAGTTGAGATACCAAATGAAGCAGAAGGAGATGTTATAACTCCCCCACACATATACACATTGCCTGGATCAGCTGAAGGATGTTACTGTGAGAGCTGTTCAGCAGTGGAACTCTCTGCCCCAGAGTGTGGTGAAGGCTCCAGAAAAAGCCTTTGCTGCAGCTCTGTCCCAGAAATATCTACAAGGTTTCCTTTGCTGCAGCTCTGTCCCAGAAATATCTACAAGGTTTCTTTTCTTTTTTATGCTTCATACAGTTTTGCACCATTTGCTTATTTGTTAAAGAAAAAGCAGTCCTTTTCCTTGGTTATGTATGCTAATTTGTGCTGGGTACTGGAAAGTGAGCCTCTGAGGCGCTTTCTACACTGCCATATAAAATCCAGATTATTTTAGAATACAGAATCATAGGGTTGGAAGAGACCTCATGGTCTATCCAGTCCAACCTCCTGCCAAGAAGCAGGAAAATCACATTCAAAGCACTGCCGATAGATGGCCATCCAACCTCTGTTTAAAAGCCTCCATAGAAGGAGCCTTCACCACACTCTGGGGCAGAGAGTTCCACTGCTGAATAGCTCTCACAGTCAGGAAGTTCTTCCTAATGTTCAGATGGAATCTCCTTTCTTCTTTGAACTGGTTTATATGGCAGTGTAGACCCATATAATTCAGTTCAAAGCAGATCATGTGGATTATCTGCTTTGATAACCTGAATGATGTGGCAGTGTAGAAGGGGCCTGAGAGGAAGTTTTTAAAACTTCTGTAAGCATTGTTTTTGTCTTTCATTGGAAAGGAGGAGCCCCCCATGGTGCAGTGGGTTAAATCCCTGTGCCGGCAGGGCTGCTGACTGAGGTCAGTGGTTTGAATCCGGGGAGAGCGGGTTGAGCTCCCTCTGTTAGCTTCAGCTCCCCATGCGGGGACACGAAAGAAGCCTCCCACAAGGATGGTAGAACTTCTAACATTCGGGCACCCCCTGGGCAATGTCCTTGCAGACGGCCAACTCACACCAGAAGCGACTTGCAACTTCTCAATTCGCTCCTGACACACAAAAAAAATGGATAGAAAGAATTCTCTTATCATATCTTTGGAACACATTCCCAGAACCCCTCAGCTGATATATGATGTTTACCTCATACCTGGGTGTGTCTGATGTGATAGTTATGCAAACTTGCATACTTCTTTCCCACAAAAATGAGAAGGAAATAGCTCACTATTGCCAGTGATGAAGCATGTAGCGCCATCTTCTTCCATTTGGAAACGTCTGGTAATGCAGGATGCAAAAAGCTGAAAGAAATGAGATACTGCGAGACTTCTTTTGCATTGTACAATTAAAGTACTTGTTAGCTCTGTTCAAGAGCAATGGCTCTGCAGATCTGCTTTTGTGTAGGATGACAATTTTCTGTTTCACTACAGACAGTTTGACAGCTAAGAGGATAGTGATTCGCTATGGCGTGAGAAGATCCTCCTAGGTCTCAAACACTTAATTTTAAATATTTATAGTTAGTAGTTTGGGACAGTTTACCAAAAGATATAGCTCTTTTAAACGATATACCTGTTCTAAACTTTGGATACATTGATGGACAGATGTTATTAGAAGCAGGTATTAACCGACTGCTATACTATGCAAGTGAACTGTTGAAAATGTATATATATGGGGAGCTTAATGTATACAGGAACACTCTATACTAATTCAGGTGTACTTTGTTGACTTTGGAAAGCATATGACATAGATGTGGTCATCACCGCAAATAGTTGGAAGTCAGCATGGGCTGACTGCAAACCTGACTAAGGAGTACCAATAAATTTGTAAGCATTCGACCTCTGCACAAACCCTAACATGCATTGTATGGAGAGGTATACCAAATCTGAGGGATGACTCTCAAGACCATATATACATACATCTGTGTCAAATTTGGATAGCAATATCTAGTTAAGTGATATGTTATATTAGTAGTGGATTACCAACCTTTGTGGAGCCATGTTAAACACCCCTTTACTGGATTCGGCATATAGGTGTGTTTGGCTCGAAATGACAGTAAATACAATAATCTGTAAAATAAAGCATGGAATTACCTACTAGATCAGGAATTACTGGTGCCAAAGACTAAACATCTGGATATACGTGTATGTCTCTATGGTCCATCTATAGTGCTATATGTGGCATGGCAATCACATTAGTCTTGGATGTCCAAATGACGCACCAAGGTAATGTGTTCATCCATATTTATTCCAGGTTAAAAATACTTGCAAAGGTCTAGACCAGTGGTTCTCAATCTGTGGGTCCCCAGGTGTTTTGGCTACAACTCCCAGAAGTCCTAGCCAGTTTACCAGCTGTTAGGATTTCTGGGAGTTGAAGGTCAAAACAACTGGGGACCCACAGGTTGAGAACCACTGGTCTAGATCTTCCAGGAAGATCTGGACTTTTGCAGGTATGGGGCCTGTGGGGCCTTCCCTCTGGGATTGCCATCTGTTATACCAGGAGATGTCCTCACAACCATTCTGTGCTGCTTGGGCTCAGGCAGCCCGGGAAGGTGGGGTGGCATGCTAGCCTCCCCTCCCTGCTTCCCGTTTCAGCTCCAAAATAAAATCAAAGGTCTCCTTATTGAGGCACAAGACTCGATAAGGAGTCTCACCTTAGCTCCAAGGCACTGATAAATAATGTCAGGGAGCTTTGGAGAGGGGAGGGGGAAATTCCCTTTGCAAAACTCCTTATTATTTATCAACTGCTAATACCAATCTCAAAATGGCATAATAGGAAAGGCAGAGTAGTTTACATATGACCTTAGCAGACTCATTCATGCAACAGTCAACATTAAAAAGAAAGAAGCGTTTGCATCAGTGGTATATTTTTTTCATTTTTCATTATAATTGGTGCATCAAAGGGGGTGGATGTCACTAATATTGCAGCTGGTAAGAGATAAACTTCCTGTTCCCATGTGTGGGGACAATTAGTTCCCTTTTACCTGGAATTAGCCTGAAGCACACAGGGTAGCTTATTTATTTATTTATCTATTGTATCAGAAGCATACAATAGGGGGTACAGTTGTAATTTATTTTAAAAACACAAAGGATGGCTCTAAGCATGTAATTAATGCCACATGTAAGTTTCTTAGATAAGGCAGGACCAGGTAGAACACCTAAAAAGGAAGTGTCCAGTGCTCCTTAAAGCAGTGATAACAATCGGTGGTTCTCCAGATCTTGCTTGACGCTAATAGCTGTCAATCCTAACATAATAATCAGCTGTCATTATTTTATGAGAGTTATAGGTCCCTTAAACACAGCTGAATAAAATCCCGCATTATCTGCATCGAACTGGAATATATGGCAGTGTGGACTCAGATAACCCAGTTCACAGCAGACATTGTGGGATTTTCTGCCTTGATATTCTGGGTTATATGGCCATGTGGAAGAATAGTCCCATTATAGTGAACCTATGACACGTGTGTCAGCACTGACACACATGGCTATTTTTGATGACACGCGGCCACATGCGGCCACATACAGAGAAGTACACATTATAAGAGCCAATCTATTTCCATCCTTAAATTTGTAAAAGGCTCTACAAATTTAACATCTGCATGTTTGAGCATTGTTCACTCCATAACTCAGCATGGAATATACATTTTTCTTATTTAAACTATAAATATTGCAAAATTACATTTATTTTTTCTCGAAGTTGACATCCCAGGTTTTTGGCAAATTTTGACACACCAAGCTCAAAACGTTGCCCATCACTGCCATAGTCCAAAAACCTATGGAAAGCCATAGGTTTCATCTCCTGTATTAAAGGGCCAAAGCCCAACATTGATTATAATGATCTTCGGCCCTATCTGCACTGCCATAGAAAATCTAGATTATCTGCTTTGAACTGGATTATATGGCAGTGTAGACTCATATAACCCAGTTCAAAGCAGATAATGTGATCTATCTGCTTTGATATTCTGAATTATATGGCAGTGTAAAAGGGACCTCAGTCTTGTCCTCCTCCAAGCTTGAAGGGGTCAGAGAAGTTGACAATTCCAAACAAACAACTAGAAAAGTTAATAGACCAAAAATGCCTCCATATAATATGTACATATAGCTAAAGCTAATGTTTGAAATTTTCCAGGAGCACAGATTTTCCTATGCCATAGTTTTTTTTTTGATGTCAACATTATTAAAAAAAAACCAAAACACCTACCAAAAGAAGCTCCATTGGAAACTCCACAGGGTAGTGCTTGTAAGTTATCTTAATGCATTTACTAACCCTCAGCATTAGCATTGAAAGCAAGAAGAGCAGTATACTGGTGGAATTCGCTTTTGGAAGACCCATGCAGTAATACGCCAGGTTCTGGGGTGAAATATCAAGAAAATATTAGAATGATTTCATTTCAAAGGGCTAACTTGTTATTGCATGAAGGTGTCTTGAATCTGAATTGTTGAGTTTCAGCTTTAGAGATGTGTTCAACAGAGTGGAAAGTCATTAGCATTTCATTTATGAGATAGGTAGTCTGCCTATATGTCAGAATTCTGTTATACAATGTTCCTTGAAGAAAATGGGAACATATTTTTTCACTGTTTCAACTATGTGTGCATTAACTTTTGATTTTCTTTCTAATTGCATTAGCAAAAGGAGGAGGAGTAATATTACGTCTATAAAACCCAGATTATTACGTTTATAAAACCCAGATTATCACCTTTGAACTGGATTATGTGGCAGTTAATCAGATAATCCAGTTCAAAGCAGATAATGTGGATTATCTGTTTTGATAATCTGGATTATATAGCAATGTAGAAGGAGCCCCAGAGTATGCAAATCTCCATTGGCCTGGTCTTCTCAGACAACATCTGCAACTCTATCTATTGTCTATCTGCACCTAGTATTGTCCACCATCATAACATGTCTCCTGTTGCAGGCTTCTTTCTCTGCAAAGATATCATAGCTTCACTATCCTATTGTAACTGGAATCCTACTAGCACACAATGGCATTTCCAGAAAATACAATGAGTGGATGATAGGGTTGTGTCATCAGTCAACAAACCTAGTTGATGTACTTTGCGAGACCTGTGCCTGCAATTGTTCCAGAGGAAATGCCTAAATGGAAGATAACTTGTGCTTGTGCCATAGGAGATCTATATTGCTTTGAATCAAGCTGTCTCATAATTTTCATTTTCTTATGCGTTAGTGACCATAACGTTGCATTGTTAGCTAGTTATGCCACTAATGTAAAGCTTGCATTTTTGGACTATAAATTCCAGAATCTCCTAACCAACAAGGGCAGATTGAGCTGAGCTGGTTGATGTGAAAATCAAACCACTGGTTTTGAAGGGTGTCACCCTAATTTTTTTCAGCTCAGATGAAGCATTCTTTTCAAGTCTATAGGCACAATTTCACCTTTTTATTTTCCACCCAACTTGGAAATTCAGGATTGGGTATGAGCTGCTAAAGTAGATAAGGACTGCCGGTGCTAAATACCCAATTCTAATATTTCTAAGATTTCACTAGCTTCAGCATTAACAGATTTAATGATGTCATTAAGCACTTGTTGCTATTGTTTGAACTGACAATTAGTTATAACACTAATTACCAATTGCATTTTTAACTTGCTGCTCCCCATCCATGCTTTGGTTTTGTGGACCATTAACTTGATGTTGTATTTTTGAAGGCTTTAATGGTCGGAATCACTAGGTTGTTGTACGTTTTCTGGGCTGTATGGCCATGTTCCAGAAGCATTCTCTCCTGACGTTTCGCCTGCATCTGTGGCAGGCATCCTCAAAGGTTGTGAGGAGAGAATGCTTCTGGAACATGACCATACAGCCTGAAAAACGTAACAACAACCCTAACCTGACATTGTTATTTGTGGTTGTGTTTTCCATCTAAAGTAAAATAGGAAAATCTTTTGCACTGCGAACCCTTACTCATTCTGAAATGTAAACCTATGGCAAAAGTTTGGAGTTTTGCTCTGGTATAAATAATAAGCTTATTGACTGTCGGTAAAGATAGAGGGGGAGGTAAAGGTTTCCCCTTGACATTACATCTAGTTGTGTCTGACTATATTTCTAAGCCAGCGTTGTCCATAGACGCCTCCAAGGTCATGTGGCTGGCATACTGCATGGAGCACTGTTACCTTCTCAGCAGACTTGTACCTATTGATCTACTCCCATTTGCATGTTTTCAAACTGTTAGGTTGGCAGAAGCTGGGGCTAACAGTGGGAGCTCATCCAGCTTTCCGGATTCAAACCACCGACCTTTCAGTCAGCAAGTTAAACAGCTCAGGAGTTTAACCCACTGCGCCACTGGGGGCTCAAAAAGATGGGAATAGAAAACAAAAATCATCATAGCTTAGTTGACTTCACGTCAACACAGTTAAACTAATATTAGAATTGATAAATCCAGACAAAACCCTTATTATAGTATAGTATAACATTCTGATTACTGGAACTATCATTGGAAGTTATAATGTTAGAAAATGTAGTGAAATCCATGAAGAAGGTGATCTACATGAGCTGTCTTATAACTCAGCAGCGACAGCACACTTTGTTTACCTTTCTATTTCCCTTTTTAAAGCTTGGCAGGACCCTTCATTTGACAGGACTATTGAGTCATAATAGAGAGGACAAAACAGGCAATTGTAATAGCTTTTGTCACCAAGAATGCTTCGCCTATTTTGCAATAAAATACTTTGAGGACACTTTTAACTATTACTTGCAAGCTTGGCCTTGTTACTTCTCAAGCTGACCTTTTGTTCTGTACCAAGAAACATGACTTTGAATAAAAGGTAGATTTACTCACGTAAAAAAATGCCAAAGGACCTGAATGAAAGTCAATAGCGATCCCGAAGATGAAAGAAAACTGGGACATAATAACATGCAATGCCGCTGCAGTGAGGTAAGCATTCATGAGACTTTCCGATACATACGTTGTGACAAATCCCAAGCCAAAAACACCTAAAAGGATCTAAAAGGAAAACAAGTGAGAATCAGCATAAGAAATATGGAATTTCTAGGCCCAGTCATTGACGGCAGCTTCCCACAACGCCACCTGTCCCTATGATGGATTATCATAATGCCGAGTGGGAGTTTGAAGATGCTAGGCTTGTATTCTGTGTTTTGCAAGGAATCCCTCTATCTTCCAAATTGGGCAACTCTTTTGGGTAAATTTAGATCCATATTTCCAACTGCCTGCTTCCTCTTTCCCCCCAGCAAACAGCAAAAATTTCCAGTCCCTGCCCCTTAATCTTAGATTTCATTTGATGCTGCTTCTCTTAAATATAAAGTTAAGGAAGAATAATAGATTGTGTTCAAATAAAGCTAGCAGATTTTTTTCCACAAAATATTGTGAACATCCTTCTCCCTTGCATGTGCTACTATTAGTATCAAAATCAGAAATAAAAATGCCATCCAAAAACATGCATGAAACTATGTAGGAGGAAGACATTGCCATTAAAGAAATTACAGCTTTTGAAAGTAAATTCAGGACCATTTTATTATGCTGAACGACAACCCTATACATGTTTACTTGTATTCAATGGGTATTAGTCTTGGGAAAATGCTCAGTTGACTGCCCATACAGGTCTATACAATGTGTAGTCATTCATCAGGAGTCCCTGATGACACAATGGGTTAAACCCTTGTGCCGGCAGGACTGAAGACCAACAGGTCAGAGGTTTGAATCTGGGGAGAGTGTGGATGAGCTCCCTCTGTCAGCTCTAGCTCCCCATGCGGGAACATGCAAGAAGCCTCCCACAAGGATGGTAAAACACCAAAACATCCAGGCATCCTCTAGGCAACGTACTTGCAAATGGCCAATTCTCTCTCACCAGAAGTGACTTGCAGTTTTTCAAGTTGCTCCTGACATGAAAAAATATTCATTTCTAACCAAATTCTTCACTATTTCAAGACCAAAGGGGCTGGGAAAACTAGTTCAGCTTATTTTTCTTTAGAAAGTATTCCATCCTACACCACATTATCTGCTTTGAACTGGATTATATGAGTCTACACTGCCATATAATCCAGTTCAACGCAGATAATCCGGATTATATATGGTGGTGTAGAAGGAGCCTCAATAGTCTTTAAAGACACAGCTATAAGTATTAAAACCCAGTTTCATTTCCTACCTGAATCATGCCAACTAGAAATGTTGTAGATGCAGTGTATGTTAATACCTCCATGTAATTTTTCATAAAGGTTGCATCAGAGAAGCTGGCCAGACTGGCATTACCAGATGGCTTAATTTTGAAATCAAGAGCGCTGTGAAAGTTTGCCACCATTACATTCAGAATGCTGAAGGAACCTGTTATGAAAAAGAAAAACAATTAAAATCAAATCCAAAAGCAATTTTAACTGCCATTTTATTGACTTACTAATATGCCTTTATTAGTTGTAATTCTTATTCTGCCCTTCAATATTTAAGTATCATATCCCCCAACTGTCCTGATTTGACAGGAACAGTCCAAATGACCCCTTTTGTCATTCCATTTTTTTCAGCTGCTTTGAAAATGTTCCAGTATTTTCCAATTCTTTTAGCCTGATTTCTTTAGGTTCTCAAATTGCTTGAAACAACAACAATAACACAGTGCTATGTTATATACTAATATATAAAAGAGTTTCAGGGGGCTTCCCTATATTTCACCAAAGGATGATGATTGTGTTGTCAAAGGCTTTCATGGTCAGAATGACTGGGTTGCTGTAAGTTTTTCGGGCTGTATGGTCATGTTCCAGAAACATTCTCTCCTGACCAGGGCCGTAGCCAGAAAAAAATTTCGGGAGGGGTTGAAATTTGGGGGGGGGGGTGAAAATTTCGGGGGGGGGGTTGAAACCTGCCTCCTAGCTCACGCCGAAGCAAAGAGCACAGCAGGGGGCAGAACAGCCTTCAATAGCCTGCAGCTCCGCCCCTGTCAACCACCTCCACCAAGTCTGGCCTCCTTAATGAGAGCATTCAACACCCCCCCCCACTTGGTTGCTTCGCTACATCGGCTATTGCTGCAAGTAATGACAGTGTGAATAAATTGTCAATATTTGCTTGAGATAGTGCTTGCAGTTCTGGAGGGACTCTTAATTTTTTGCATCTCATAGACTTAGCATGAGGGTTTGGTTAACCAGTTAAAATTCATGAGTAAACCAGTTTTTAAAAAAAATCTGAAACATTTCGGGAGGGGGGTTGAACCCCTAAAACCACCCCCTCGCTACAGGCCTGCTCCTGACATTTCGCTTGCATCTATGACAGGCATCCTCAGAGGTTGTGAGGTCTGTTGGAAACTAGGAAAATTGGGTTTATTTATCTGTGGAAAGTCCAGGGTGGGAGAAAGAACTCTTGTCTGTTGGAGGTAGATGTGAATGTTTCAGTTGGCTACCTTGATTAGCATTTAATGGCCTAGCAGTTTTCAAGGTGTGGCTTTAATTTTTATGTTAAACAGGGTTTTCAGTGCACATTGTCCTTTTTTAGCTGAACTTCTTCATTCCCAAGCTGGGAAAATTGTGGGATAAACATAAAACAAATATATAAATAAAAACAATATAGAAATGGACCTGACTCCCACTTCTCTTGTCAAATAACCACCATCTGAATTAAAAGAACAATACTTACCAATTGATATATGTCGTGATGTTCCAAATATGACATATGTCAAAGAACAGCAAAATGCAGAATAAAAGCTATTGACAACTGGTAGTGGTAATCCAGTTAACAATATTCCCGATAGTCCTGCATAAAATATATTTCAAAAAATATGTCAGACATGTTAATCAAATAGTTTTGAAGTAAAAAGTGAATTAATATTTTTTGTTGGAAAACATCAAGCCAACCCTCATTCATTATCATAACTAAAACAATTTGTGGTAAGTTTTCCCTCCATTTTTCCTCCTTCAACTAGCCCCTAAATAAATGTTCGTTTTAATTTGTCTTTCATATAAGATTAGTTCAGCTTCTAGCCTGATATCTAGGCTAATTCTTTGATGTATTTTTAAGGCAATGGGATTAGGGATTTTTAAAAAATGGTTTTAATAATTGGAAAACGTTGATGCATTAGGATTTCTCATTGCAAGCTACTTTTTAAGAATGTTTTAGTTCTAAAAAGCGACTTACATTGAGGAAACCTTAATAAAATTCTCATTAACACTTTTTAGAACTTTCTAAAAATGGCATTAATTTTTTTAAGTGACTTTGCGATACATTAAGAACTTTAAAGTATTAGCTCTCCTTTGTTTTTTTGTTGCGCAACCCAGTGTTTCAGTTCTAACCTCAAAGGTGTTCAATAGCAACAATCTGGCAAGATAAAAGAGAATTGTTGCCACTCTGATTTTATAATGGAATACACCTCATATGTGGTGCAACTCAAGTGGTAGACTTGCCCCACAACTTAATAATGCTGGTTGTATTCTAGTTCTATATATATACATATATGGCATATGATAAATATGAGGGTTGAAAACAAACTGAATTTTGCAAAATGATGATGCAAATGATGCAAAAAGTAAGGAGCCACGGTAGCACAATGGGGTAAGCCCTTGTTCCAGCTGAACTGTAGGTTGGCAGTTCGAATCCTCAAGATGGGGTGAGCTCCCATTTGTCAGTTCCAGCTTCCCATGCGGGTACATGAGAGAAGCCTCCCACAGGATGGTAACAGACCTGGACATCTCCTGGACAACATCTCTGCAGACAGCCAATTCTCTCACACCAGAAGCAGTTTCTCGAGTAGCTTCTGACACAATTTTAAAAAATGCAAAAAGTTGTCCTTTTTGCAGTTAAAGCAGCCAATTTAATGTGGGAAAAAGGAAAAAAAACCACATTTTAATGAAAGCATTAGTATAATAGGTTCCCTTTGCTCTTCTATCAGATTTGCTGCACTATGTAAGTATTTGTTATTTTTATTATCGGTTTCTGTTATGACCGGTTGACTTCATCAATATACTTCTTCCTAAGAAAAGGTACCTAAGAAGCTCCTGCTCAAATACATCTAAAATATGCTTCTCTCAGTTTGACTGTCACTCAGTCATACAAAAACTATATAATCTGTGGTCCAGGTATACCATTAATTATTGTTCTTGTGAGATAATGGTTGCCTTGATCTAATGTTTAGAAATTTTGCTGGATTAAAGAGATTTGTGTTGTAATTAAATTTATTTTATTTAGTGGCATGGTTGGCAATACTATTAGGTAGAGTGAAGTGGCCACTTCAGGCAGAAGAAAAAAAATCATAAAACAGTAGCAAATTCTTAGGTATTTACTTTGTTATCTTTTTTTCAGCATTTTTAGCATAAATTATTTTTGTAGTTTCTGACTTGTGTACCAGTTTTTAATACTATATGCCTTGGTTTTGGAGAAGAAGATATATCATTTGGACTCTGATCCAAATAATAATAATAATAATAATAATAATAATAATAATAATAAGAATTTTATTTCTTGCCTGCCTCTCCTCACGTCTTGAGGTTAATGACAAAATTAAACCTGTTTGAGCAAGAGCTGGGTACAATGGAGCCTGTTGATGGTCTATCTTATCAAGAAAATTAGTAACTTAAATTGAAAGTGCAATTGAAGAATCCTTGACTACATTGGATTGCACTGAGTTTTCTGGACTGTATGGCAATGTTCCAGAAGCATTCTCTCCTGACGTTTTGCCTACATCTATGGCAGGCATCCTCAGAGGTTGTGAGATCATACATAAACTATATATGTATCAGACCTCACAATCTCTGAGAATGTCATCCATAGTTGTGGGCGAAACGTCAGGAGAGAATGCTTCTGGAACATGGCCATACTGCCTAGAAAACTCACAGCAACCCAGTGATTCCAGCTATGAAGCCCTTCAACAACACTTTGACTACATTCTTCGTCCTAGAAATTCATTGGGGAGATCCTTCATTGCCACAGAAGATTTTAATATAATAAAGACTATGTTCAGAGGTTCCCTTCACAATGTCATGTGCCATGGTAATTTAAGGAGTCAAAATTATTCTTGCCAATTTCCAAAATAAGATAAACTTACTAAGCAAAAGAAATCTGATCATAGCCATATTAATACAATTTTACTTCATTTGAGCGTTATTTGGACCACTTAGACCAGGCATGAGAAAACTTGGGGTTTCCAGGTGTTTGTTTGAGGGGGGAAAGGAAGGAGCCTGAGGCTGTTAGGAACTGTGGGAATTGAAGTCCAAAACACCTGGAGGGACCAAGTTTGCCCATGCCTGACTTAGACTTTGAAGAAAGAGAAGTTAAACAATTTTAGAAAAATCTGCTTCCAGACTATTTTTTCTAGATGCATTTTGAGAAGGTCCACTGGTACTAATAGGTAAAGGTAAAGGTTTCCCCTGACATTAAGTCCAGTTGTGTCCGACTAGGGGTTAGTGCTCATCTCGATTTCTAAGCCGAAGAGTTGGCGTTGTCCATAGACACCTGTAAGGTCATGTGGCTGGCAAAGCGGTCCTATTGATCTACTCACATTTGCATGTTTTTGAACTGTCAGGTTGGAAGAATCCTGGGGCTGACAGAGGGAGCTCATGCCGCTCGCCGGATTCGAACCTGCCACCTTTTGGTCAACAAGTTCAGCAGCTCAGTGTTTTAATCCACTGAAGCACCAGGGGCTCCCATACTACTAATGAGCAGCTATCTAGTTACAGAACGGGTAGATAATGATGGCTCTCCAGATGTTGTTGGGCTGTAGCTTGTATAATAACTTGTACTTCACTGTTGGTTATGTTGGCTTGGAGTTTGGGAACTATAGACTAAAAGCGTCTGGAGGACCACAGATGCTCTTTCCACAGCACATACAGCAGTGGTTCTCAACCTATGGGTCTTCAGATGTTTTGGTCTTCAATTCCCAGAAATTATAATAGCTGGTAAACTGGCTAGGATTTCTGGAAGTTGTAGGCCAAAACACCTGGGGACCCACAGGTTGAGAACAACTGACATAGAGGGATAGGCATTTTCCCATATATGGAAAAGACTGGATGATTACAATTATAAAATATATTAGCCACCTTTGAAGCATATCAAAAGACAATCATCTTAATCTTGATAATTTGGTCTAAGGAATATAAAGGAGGTTTTGTCAAAAAGAAGGATATCATATTTACCTTGAAAAATCTGCACCAATCCCACAGTTATGCCAGCGTGAATGTCTCCTAGAATCCATTCCGTGATACGATAAGAAAACATCCAGTTTAGAATGGGAAATGTCTTGATGAGTAACTCCTTGAACCGCGCAAATGAGAATCTGAAACAAATTGGACTGTGTAGATAATCTTCCCATCTAGCAAAACTCTTCCTTCCTCCACTTCAGATGTTTTATGTAATTCTTATGGTACAATAGTGATAGATGATGAAGTGCTATCACCTCACAGATACATGTTCATGGTAGAAATGTGTATGCAGTATAAGGAGAAACCAGAACAGTAAAATTTTGGATTGCCCACTGACGGTGTATTATGGAAGATTCAGGATACGAAGAAATACTTGTGCACCAAATTCAGCATTTACAACCACAAGATATAGCTATGATTTGGATGGCTCCAAAAAGGGATTGGACACATTCGTGGAGATTAGGTCAATCAACGACAGCTACCCAGCCAGGTTTAATCACAAATTTTAAACTTGCATATTAAGTTTAAACTTTGTTCTGTGTATTTTAATATGTATGCTGTAGAAATATGTTTTAATATGTGTATTTTGTAGAATGTTTTTAGAAGATTGTGTGTCTTAGCGATGTTGTAACTTACCTCGAGCCACAGGAGAGGCGGGTGAGAAATAAAATTATTAGTATTATTATTACACTTGCTGTTCCCTGCCATGTGTTGCTGTGGGTTTATATATCTGGGGAATGTCCAGGGTGGGACAAAGAGTTCTACAACAACTTATATGTGCTTTGTCTGTGTATATATTTGTGTATATGTCTATATATGTGTGTTTGCGTGTATATATATGTGTATGTGTGTGTGGTTTTGCGCATGTGTTGTAATGCATTTTTTTGCTTTTGAAGTCTCTTCTGCTGTGTTTTTCAGTGTTTTTACCAGTGATGGCCAGTTATTGGCCTGATACGTTTATTGTGTCCAAATTTGGTGTCAATTCGTCCAGTGGTTTTTGAATTATGTTAATCCCACAAATGAACATTACATTTTTATTTATATAGATTATCATAGGCTGTATACCAGATTTTAGAGAGAAAGTCTGAGAACAAGCTACAGCAGTCATGTTTTTCTAGGAGATTTCCCATAGGAAGTGACAAGATGAAGAGGGTACTGGACAATTTATCCTATTTAGAATTTGTTGTATTTGTTCTTTTAGTTCCTGTCTGGGCTTTACAGGCCAATGGATACTCCACCATAGACATCAGAAGAGCTGCAAGACTGAGAGCAAGCCACAAGAGTAAAGACAAAGATCCACACAGAGGGAAAGTGTTCTTGCTATACATCAAGGGAACCACTGACCGTATAGGGAAGCTGATGAAGAAATACAACCTATAAACTATCTACAGATCCACTAAGAGAATCCAACAAATGCTACGTTCAGCAAAGGACAAGAGGGATCTTCTCACTTCTGCAGGAGTCTACAGTATACCATGCAGCTGTGGACAAGTCTACATAGGAACCACCAAACATAGCATTGCCCAAACACGAATCAAGGAACATAAAAGGCACTGCAAACTACTTCAACCGCAGAAGTCAGCCACAGCAGAGCACTTGATGAACCAACCTGGACACAGCATATTATTTGAGAACACAGAAATGCTGGACCACTCTCACAACCACCATGTCAGACTACATAGAGAAGCCATTGAAATCCACAAGCATGTGGACAATTTCAACAGAAAGGAAGAAACCATGAAAATGAACAAAATCTGGCTACCAGTATTAGAAAACTCTAAAATCATAACAGTAAATAAAGAATACTCAAAAAAAGGGGAACTCCAGATAAGAAATAATCAGGGACAGCTAATCACCTCTCAACAAAGGATTCCCCCAGGCAGTAAGAAGCCAAACTGCCAGGCCATTAAATGCTAATCAAGGTGGCCAATGGAGGCATTCACATCTAGCTCCAACAGACAAAAGTTCTTTCTCCCACCCTGGACATTCCTCAGATATATAAACCCCATCTTCCTAGTTTCCAACAGACCTCACAACCTCTGAAGATGCCTACCATAGATGCAGAGAATGCTTCTGGCACATGGCTATACAGCCCAGGAAACACACAACAACCCAGATTTTATTTTAATTTTTATTTAAATTATTATTTCTTTGATTTCCCTACCCCCCGGTTGCTTGGTTTCTAGTTAACTGAGAATCTATTGTAATACTTTTATATTCATAATATTATGATAATCATTTATTTTGATAGAAGCTAATCTGAATCAATTAATGAGAAAGTTTTATTTTTTACCTCACCTGAATTAAAAATATAATTCTTTCATTGCTACTTTCAGAGTTTAAAATTAACAGATAGATGAAGATGGTAATCTATATGACAAAGCTCAATATATGGTACTTTATATTGATTTCAGAGGACCGTTTGGCTGATTCCCTCCCTATTATCTTCCTGCAGGCTGGCAAAGACCTTTTAGCTCAGACTGCCTTTGGCATTTTAAACTGTGTAGCTGTTAAAAGGTTTGAGCTGTTTGGGTGCTGTTTGATGTGTTTTGTGTTTTAATAGCATTTTATTCTGTCCTTATGTTTATATTGTACAAACATTCTCCAAGTTACAAACTTCTAAATGACTCATGGTTAAAAGTGAAGGTGAGACAGCAGGATGTGAGAGAAATCTACTCCTAGGAGGGAAATCCACGCCTGAATTATCACGGAGAAAAGGTGTCTCAGCTGTAGCTTTATCACCAATCCTTGTTTCTACAACAAGCCAAATTTTCAAAATCCAGTTATCACAGGGTCAGAAAGTGAGGTGAAATCTTCTGAACAGGGGCACAGGCAGCAAACAAACACTACAGGTATGCTAACTATTCCTTATGTCCTCCAATGCATGTATGCATGCATGCATGCACATGTACATGCATATATGGATGAGGTTACACTTTAAAAATGTGCTTGGTTCAACTTACATACAAATTCAACTTAAGAACAAACCTACAGAACCTATCTTGTTCGTAACTTGGGTATTGCCTATACTTATTTTGTCTACATATTCTATTAGATGCCCTGAGTGCCCATTTTTGGGAGAAAGTTAGGATATACCATAGATATAATAAATAAATACAGAAACATGCACACCAGTCACAGCCTCTTGAAGTTTTTGGCCTCTATCCCAATGGCTTGGTAAATCTGGTGTGAAATTTAGCTCAGCTTTTCATTAAAAGCTGTCCATGGTACTGAACCTTATTCCTCCCCAATTGCAGCACTTTGGAATGGTGCCTTTACAATTTGGACAAAACCCAGAGTACATTCATCATCCACTGACATAGGAACCATGAGCCAAACACTATTTAAATTGCATGGGAGCAAACACACATAATGTTCTCAGTCTGAACATGCAGTTTTATTGACAGGAAGGGTTCTTTTCTCTTCCCAGCACTGAGAGAAGTTTCTCATTTCTCACTGAAAGAAAGAGATCATCTCAGCTCTTCTGCTAAATAAATGGAAATCCACATTCTTTCCCCAGAGTGTTAGGGTAAAAGAAATATAGCTGGTAGGCTATATTAAATACTTTACTTATGAGGGACGTTCATTAAAGATTTCCTTTGACCCACTTCCTGTGGACTGAGAGCAATGAAACTTGGCACAGTTATGAGTCCTTCTCTACATAGGTGACACCTTCTCAACTTTTTAAGCAACTGTAAACACCTTGCATGTAGAAGTTGACAGGTTGCTCCAAAAGCCACGTTGTGACTTCGAAAATCAGAGTCTCATCGTCTGAAAAATTCTTGCTCTTCAAAAATAACTTAATTGTTGGAAAGAGGTGGATGTCCGATGGTGCGAGGTCAGGTGAATAAGGGGGATGTGGTAGAATTTCAAAGTCACAGTAGCATGTTTCCACTTGGGCAACATGGGAGTTGTGAACTGGTGCATTGTCTTGCAGAAGGTGGAGACCTTTGGTGAGCATGCCAGATCTCTTGATTTTGATGGCCTCCTGCAATTTCCAAAGCAGTGAACCATAGTATGCCCCAGTGATCATGGTACCCTTTGCTAGGAAATCCCTCAATACTACTCCATGCTGGTCCTAAAATACTGTGAGCATAACCTTACCTGATGAGAGTTGGGCACGTGTCTTCTTTGGAGACGGTGAGTCATGATGCTTCTATTGTATTGACTGGACTGTAGTCTCAGGATCATAGTGATGGACCCAGCTTTCATCCTGTGTAATCAGTCTGTTCAAAAAGTCCCCCTGGTTTCAATGGCACATTGTCAATAGAGCCTAAGAGCATTTGGCTCGTTCCTGCTTCTGGAAAAGTGTGAGCAGCTGGAGGACCTGGCGAGCGAATACCTTATGCATATGAAGATGGTCTTGGATGATTTTTTCCACAGACCTCACACTAATCTTGACATTTTGGGCTAGGTGGCGAATGGTTACGCTGTGATTTTCCAAAATGGTGACCTCCACTTGCTGGATGGTGTGTTCATCAATAGCAGAGTGGGGTTGCTCTGGAATTGGAGCTGTTTCCACTGAAGTCTGACCACATTTGAATTGACAATATGATGGAGAATCATCACCATAAACTTCTTTCATCTCATTGAACATCTCCTTTGGTGTGCAGTCTTTCAAGTAAAGGAACTTGATGACTGCTTTGTTTTCCACTGAGTCCATTATCAAACCTCACACCACTTCAGTACCTTTAAAATCAAGATTGTTATCCATTCTGAGTTGTAAATTGGCATGCAACCTAGAGAGACATGGGCAGTTTCAGCATCCTGTGATAAATAGAAGTGGGTCAGGAGAAATCTTTAAATGAATACCCCTTGTAGATTTATCTGACTTCCTGTGGGGCTATCAAACTTTCTGTAGGCTATACGTGAATCCCCAGGAGCTGTATACAAAATCACTGGGAGAGGTTTGCCTATAGATTTTGGCTGTAATGCCATTAGGGCAATTGGATGAAAACCAGGGCAGAAAAACTCCTGCACCTTTAGTGGCTGTATGAAAAAGGGAACTTCATTAGATGGAGCTTGCATGACAAACAATATCTTCTGAAATTCTCTTATATGCAGCTTTAAAGGCACAGGAGGCCTGTTGTCTAATTTGTGTTTTTAATAGCATTTTATTCTATGTGTTTATGTCCTAGCTGTGTTTGTTTTTAATCTTTCTATGCTTACTGTTTTTACTCGGTAGCCCTGAATGACATCAATATGCAAATACAAAGATATTCCAGCCATTTAATTACAATACAAGGCGGCACACTATCTTCAAAAAAAAAAAGGAATAAAAGTCTTGTTTGATTCTCACCTGCACTGAATCTTGTGTCCAACTGGAGGGCTCTCAAAGTCCTGATTGGTTTGTGAATAAATCTTTTGGTCATGATCTCTTTCAAATTCTTCTTCATTGTACACTTTTCTGTTGATGGTATATGTCACTCTAAGTGGCTGTCTTTCGCTGGTGATATTAACACATGGCTCAATTTCGTCATATGTTTCCTGTTGTTAATGTTTCATATTAAGACAAAAAAAAGAGTGAGATCATGAGATTTTTTAAAAGAAACAAACCTATATTTTTCCTTCCTGGGTACTAATGTTTCTAAAATACTTCTGTTTATGTGTGCTTTTCTCCCCTTTACTGTGGTATGGTAAATATTCCATTTTGTTTTTTTATAAAATTGAAATTATAAATTACAGATATCAAACAAAACAAATAACAACATTCTGCTAAACGATTAAAAAGGTAAAGGTTTCCCCTTGACATTAAGTCTAGTCAACTCTGACTCTGGTGGGTGGTACTCATCTCCATTTCCAAACCAAAGAGCCAGTGTTGTCCATAGACACCTCCAAGGTCATGTGGCTAGCATGACTGCATGGAGTGCCATTACCTTCCTGCCGAAGCTGTACCTATTGATCTACTCACATTTACATGCTTTTGAACTACTACTTTGGCAGAAGCTGGGGCTAACAGCAGGAGCTCACCCTGCTCCCTGGATTTGAAATGCTGACCTTTTGGTCAGCAAGTTCAGCAGCTCAGCAGTTTAACCTGCTGCACCACTAGGGGCTAAACTATACATTGAACTAAAATACAATACAAACAAGTATAATGGCGATTGAGAGACTGAATGACCAAAAGTGAGATAAATTATTTGTAAGAAACTTACAGGCTTGGCATTGAAGGATAGAATATGAAATTAACTAAATAACAAGAATGACAAAAAGAAGAAGCAAAACATTCTGAGTCCTGCATTAAAGGCCAAATGAAACGTGTGGTTTATTACATTAAATCAATAAATGGGCATGTTTCATGTTAATACTTATGGGTGGAGCGGGGAAAGAGAAAACAAGATCAGAACAGAGTATTTAGTGTGAGTAACATCCCCCTCAAAGCTGCTATTTGCTCCAAGAAGGAATTCCCTATGGTCACCATAACTGCAGGGAAAGGAGAGAATATAATGATTGTCCCCAAATAAGAACTCGGTCAACTGAAAAATAATAAATTCATAACAGATAAGTTTTCAACATTATCAAGCTCTGCTTATAATATTGCAAAATTAATGTGCTGCTGGGAGAGAAATGCAGAATATGCCCAGGGGAAAAATCATTTTCCTAATCATGCATTAATTGTATCATATGTTAAAAAAAGCATTGCCTCTTCAGTCCTTCTTGCTATTTTAATGTGGCTTTTCTTATTTTTTCATCCCACAAGTGTAGTCACCCTAATTATCACGAGAAAGGCATTTTCTGCAACATAGTTCAGTGTATTTTGTTTTAAATCCATACATTTGCAAACCCCCCTCCACTCCCTAAGCTGAGCATTTAATAAGAGGAGAGGCAAAGATTAGAAGACGGACATGAATCCAGACAAATTACATTTCTGTGCAGAATGTTTAAAAGAATAGAAAATTGATGAGACACAAACAGAGAGAAATAGTTTACATGGCCATGTTGGTGATTACAAAGCAACCTCAGAGGTTGAGGCACAGATGGCATTTAGGCTGCATTGATCTGTTTTGTTTGAAATGTCATTAGTGGTAAAGTTCCTTTAAAAAGAACTAGTTACACAGATAATGAAAATGCCATCCCTTAATACGGAGTCCTCCCTCTTCCCAGAAGATTGGGTGGCTTCACCATTTAATACTTCCATCTAGTAACATTCAATATTGTTTGTGGGTCAGAAACCTTGGCACAATGTAAAGAAAACATTACATTTGTGAAGCAGCCAAAAACAAAGTTAAAATGACTACAAACAGGCACAACATATTTTGTTGCAGGGCTGAAGAACAAGCTCTCTTACCGCCCACTGTGCATCTAGATCTTAAGGGATTATGGGAAAGATGTAATACAAAGAAGTAACATTTCCAAGATCTATTGAGACACATACAGCCTTGTGACACAAACAGGTGTGCATCTTCCACCTAAGTTAGCTATCTACCCTGCCCAATACTAGAGCTAATCCTATATATTTACTATAGATGATTTCAATATAAAAAGGTAAAGGTTTCTATTGACATTAAGTCTAGTCATGTCTGACTCTTGGGGGTGGTGCTCATCTCCATTTCTAAGCCGAAGAGCCGGTGTTGTCCGTAAACTCCACCAAGGTCATGTGGCCAGCATGACTGCATGGCACGCCATTACCTTCCCGTAGAACCTATTGATCTATTCACATTTGCCTGTTTTTGAACTGCTAGATTGGCAGAAGCTGGGGCTAACAGCAGGAGCTCACCCACTCTCCGGATTCAAACTGCTGACTTTTCGGTCAGCAAGTTTAGCATCTCAGTGGTTTAACCTGCTCTGCCAGCAGGGGTCTAATTTTAATATATTTTCTAATACTTATAACTATTTATATGAATTCTTGCTTTTATTTTGATTCAGCAATAATGTCAAAACAACTGTTTCCTCACCTAAGCTGTTGTTTGATTTGGTGGATGACCAAAATGCTTGCATTTATTTATTTATTATTAAAACACAACATTTTTAATTGTAGTTCTAGGGTGCATCTACATTGCAGAATGAATGCAGTTTCACACCACATAAACTACCATGACACATGGGTACATGGGAGTTGTATGTAGCTTGATGAGATACCAGCACTCTTTAGCAGAGAAGGCAAAAGCCTTTGAAAAACTTTAAATCTCATGATTCCATAGTACTGAGTCACAATACTTAGTGGTATCAAACTGCATTAATTTTACAGCAGTGTTTCTCAACCTTCCTAATGCCACGACCCCTTGATCCAGTTCCTCATGTTGTGGTGACCCGCCAAACATAAAATTATTTTTGTAGCTACTTCATAACTGTAATTTTGCTACTGTTATGAATCATAATGTAAATGTCTGATATGCCGGATGTATTTTCATTCACTGGACCAAATTTGGCACAAATACCTGATATGCCCAAATTTGAATACTGGTGGGGTTGGGGGTGGGATTGACTTTTCTCATTTGGGAGTTGTAGTTACTAGGATTTTGAGTTCACCTATAATCAAAGAGCATTCTGAACTCCATCAAGGAAGGAATTGAACCAAATTTGGCACACAGAACCCTATGACCAACAGAAAATACTGGAAGGGTTTGTTGGGCATTGATCTTGAGTTTTGGAGTTGTAGTTCACCTCCATCCAGAAAGCACTGTGGACTCAACAATGATGGATCTGGACCAAACTTGGCACGAATACTCAATAAGCCCAAGTGTGAATACTTTGTGGAGTTTGGGGAAAATAGACCTTGACATTTAGGAGTTGTAGTTGCTGGGATTTATAGTTCACCTAGAATCAAATAGCATTCTGAACCCCACCAACAATAGAATTGGGTCAAACTTCCCAGACAGAGGCTCCATGACCAACAGAAAATACTTTGTTTTCTGATGGTCTTTGGCGACCCCTCTGACACCCCCTCGCGACTCCTGTAGGGTCCCGACCCCCAATTTGAGAAACACTGTTTTACTGTCTAGATCAGTAGTTCTCAACTTGTAGGTTCCAGATGTTTTGGCCTTCAACTCCTAGAAATCCTAACAGCTGGTAAACTGGTTGGGATTTCTGGGAGTTGTGGACTAAAACACCATAGGTTGAGAACCACTGGTCTAGATGCACCCCAGGAAACAAGTTCCTGTTGGGGCAGAACAAGTCGTTCCCATATCCTCGCATTCCTCCTTATCCTAATTATTCTTCTCTGTAGATGAATGCTTAGTCTCCCAGCCACTTTTAAGAGGAGTGATTTCCTTTTAAAAATAACATGCCCATTTAAATTTCATATTATTGACTCTTTTAAAATAGAAATGCCATCTTTTCCTCATTGCTTTCCTTTCACTTACCATTTGAAGCCCAACCTTTCCTCTCTTTCTTTCCTATATATTATCATGCTACTAGTTGCTCTATTATCAGTTAGAGATGTTTAGAATTTCTGCCTCATTGTGAACACGATCAGCGACTGCCAATAGGATGCCGACTGAGGCTGAACGTTCCATTAAATGATGTCAACTTTGTCCCAGCTTTGCCTGGTTTATTTGGACCTTTCCACACAGCTGTATAAAATCCACATTGAACTGTATTATGTGGTAGTGTAGACTCAGATAATCCAGTTCAAAGCAGATATTGTGGATTATCTGCCTTAATATTTCAGGTTATATGACTGTGTGGAAGGGCCCTTGGATGGTTTGTGCATGTTATAAAACACAAAGCCCATTGTTCTTAATACCTTAATCCAAATTTTCATACTCAGCAATCCGTATAGTAAAGGCTATATTGTAAAATACTAAACAAAGAAAACATCAGAGGCACCTTTTCAAATATTTACTAAGGATTTAGAGCTTCTGGTGGCGTAGTAGGTTAAACTGCTGAGCTGCTCAACTTGCTTACCGAAAGGTTTCAGGTTTGAATCCAGGGAGCGGCGTGAGCTCCCGCTGTTAGCTCCAGCTTCTACCAACCTAGCAGTTTGAAAACATGCAAATAAGAGTATATCAATAGGTAGGAAGGTAATGGCGCTCCATGCAGTCATGCCGGCCACATGACCTAGGAGGTGTCTTTGGACAACACTAGTTCTTCGGCTTAGAAATGGAGATGAGCACCAACTCCCAGAGTCGGGCATGACTAGACTTAATGTCAGGGGAAAACCTTTATCTTTATCTACTAAAGATTTTCCTTTTTTTCAATTTTGTTCTCTTTATCCTTGAGTTTTTTCTTTTATTTTTCGAGTAAAAATTTATCACAGACATAGTTACATTTATAAATAATTTTGCTTGGTTTTATACAACCATATTTGCATTTCAGGTGTTTAAAATTAGAATTTGCTAAAATTCAAATGTAGAAATTCAAAATTCAAATTGCCATTTTTCCCAAATTCCCTGGACCCTCATATCCTGGTTTGCACTAGCCTCAGCCCGGCCCTTTTTAAATTGCTTTGGGACATTTTTTCTCGGCCCTAACAATAAACATGAAGAACAGGCAGGATTACTTTTAAATATATATATGTGCTGTTTGATAATTTTATGTTTACGTTGTTTAATTTTATGTTTATGTTGTTTACTCTGTATGTTTTGGTGTTTGATACTTGGAAACTGCTTTGAGTCCCCTCGGGGAGATAGAGCGGTATATAAATAAAGTTTTATTATTATATAATTATTATATAGATGAAATAAATGGAAGGCAACCAGCCTGCTAAGTTGCTAGTAAAAATTAAAACAGAGATTCTCAGCATGAGGAATACTGTATTGGGAATTACATTCTATGCTTGTATTGCATTATCAAATCCATGACCTCACTCCCTTTATGCCTGCATTATCAATAGATTGAATGTGCTCTGGGGGCATGAGCAAATGATAGCTTCCTTACACTCAAAACAACAACAAAATGGCACATTGTAGACATGTGTGTTGTTTTAAAGCAGAAACATAATTATGCAGAATTTAAGGCCAAAACACGACAGCTAAATGGTGTAGATCAGGAATGTGAAACTCATTTTCATATAAGGTCACATCAGTTTCATGGTTGCGTTCAAAGAGCCATTGGATTAATGGACAGAGACTCCATGAATACAGGGCCAACTATATATTTTGTACATAGTAGTTAGTGTGCTTTAGTTTTACCCACTTTGGGTCCCAAGATGTTATCACTCAATAACATCTTGGGACCCAAACTGTGTAAAAACTAAAGTGTACTTATATGGATGAGGGATGATGGGAATTGCAGCCCCACAGTACTTTTGGATCTGAGGACAGGGAAAGGTTAAAGGACATTTTAAAGTCAGGCATAATATCCACAAGCTTTGTATCTAAATTCAAACACTGCTCTTCCAAGTCGTGACGAAACAGAACAAATTTAAACCTTCCAGATATTTCTGTATCACAACTCCCATCAGCTCTAGTCACGACGTCTAATGATGAGGAATATACGAGGGTTGAATGAAAAGTAATGCCTCCACCTTTGTAACTCCTCAACAGATGGCAGTACTGGTATGCGGCAGGCACTAGCTTGTTCAGTAGACTCTCCTCTACAGTTCCATTTTGGCAGGAAGCCTTAGCACTGAATGGTTGTGTTGTTAAAGTGCGAAGTATGGAACCCTGTGCAGACGGTTGGTCAATGTGACTTAAGCAACGTGCAGTCATTGCATTCTTGACAGAAGAAGGTGTCACCCCAAAGAAGATTCATCAGAGAATGCAAGCTGTTTATGGTGATTGTGTTGATGTGAGTACTGTCATGTTGTTGGACAAGTAAGTTTAAAGATGTTGAGGTGGGAACATCTGACTTGAGTGACAAACAAAGAGTTGGACGTCCTGTGACAGCAACCACTGAGTTTCACAAGCAAAAGGTTGACAGATTGATTCAGGATGATCTTCGTATCAATCAGAGAGAAATTTCAAGCATAATCAGCACTTCACAAGAATATGTGGGTCACATTATTGCTTTGCTTGGCTATCGGAAGATCTGTGCATGATGGGTACCCAGGATGCTGATGCCTGAAATAAAAGTGCACAGACTTGAAATTTGCCAGAAATTCCTCTTGTGTCATGAGAACGTAGGTGATGTGTTTCTCCATTCAATTGTGACAGGAGACGAAATGTGGGTACATCATTACGATCTGGAGACAAAGCATCAGTCTATGGAGTATCAACACAAAGACTCACCCCAGAAAAAGAAATTCAAGACACAGCCCTCAGCTGGAAAAATCATGGCAACAGTGTTCTGGGATGCAGATGGTGTTATCCATGTTGATTTCCTTGAATGTGGAACAACAATAAATTCAGAGCATTACATCACAATGCTGCGAAATTTGAAACAACGGCTAACAAGGGTCTGAAAGGAAAAGGGAAATGTTTTCCTGCAGCATGACAATGCCAGACCACACACTTCACATGCCACCGCAGCAGAACTTCAGAGACTTCTTCCGTGACAGCTTCAGAAAACTTGTTCATTGTTGGCAGAAATGTATCCAATTGTCTGGTGATTATGTGGGAAAGTGAATGGTTATAGTTAAAGAGCACATTCTAAGGATTATTTCTGCATTTGATTTATTAAAATATTCCCATCCAAACCCAAGTAATGAAGGTGGAGGCATTACTTTTTATTCGACCCTCGTAGCAGTTGTAGTTCAGTATCTGGAAGTCACATAATATGACATTGAGGGCCAGATTCAACCCATGGGCCTTGCCTTTGATGTGATGTAGATGATAAAAAGGAATGTAATAGATGTCCAGGAGAAGGTAAAGGTTTCCCCTTGACATTAAGTCTAGTGGTGTCCGACTCTCGGGGAGGGGGGTGGTGGTGCTCATCTCCATTTCCAACCCGAAGAGTTGGCATTGTCCGTAGATGCCTCCTAGGTCATGTGGCCGGCATGACTGCATGGAGCATCGTTACCTTCCCGCCGAAGTGGTACCTATTGATCTACTCACATTTGCATGTTTTTGAACTGCTAGGTTGGCAGAAGCTGGGGCTAACAGTGGGAACTCACTCCACTCCCCGGATTTGAACTACCGACCTTTCAGTCCAAGAGAAACAGAGACAGATATTCTTATGAGATACCAACTTGTTTCTGATAGAAAACCAAGCCACACACGGACAATATACGGTGACTTCAAATCAGTTTTTGTCAGTTATATAAATGCAAAGGAAGGTGATGGGTATTGCATGACTAGACTGCAATGACTGGACGTGCTCAAACAAGACTGCAATAAACTGGCCCTGTAGGATTTCACTTTCCATGTACTGACCTGCACTGACCTAAGCAGATGTGATAATTATGGGGTTTGTTGTGTTAGAGCATTTCTGCTTCCCTCTGCATTTGGAAAGGCTCACAGAATCTTAGCAGGTACCGTCCTCAGGTGCCTATTCCAGAAAGAAGGGCACAAAACAAAAAGGGGATGGGAAAGAAAACAAAAACCGTGAAGAATAAATCCTGGTAGGATTTGCTTTGTTTGCTTGTTTGATGTCTGTTCCAGCTTTCTCCCAGGAGTAAGACTCAAAAGGCAATTTGTGGTGCAGCAATCACTTCATCGCAGTGGGACAAGCAAAGCCTGGCACTGTCTATTGGGAGAATCAATCCTCAGCCTTATTAGTATTTTTGGACAAAAAGACAAAAATTATCTACCTGTTCTTTCTATGATGACCTTCCTTATGCCCCACAAGGATGGATTGTGAGAGATTATTCTCTCCTGATGTTTCGCCTACATCTATGACAGGCATCCTCACAATCTTTGAGGAGGCCTGCCATAGATGCAGGTGAAATGTCAGGAGAGAATGCTTTTGGGACATGGCCATACAGCCTGGAAAACACACAACAACCCAATACTGTTACTAATTAACTAAATAATATTACCTAACACCCAGAGGCGGCCCTAGGTAATTTTCAATGGTAAGCAAACAGTATTTTGCCCCCCCCCAACCAATCAATTCCATCATTGGTGGGGTTCACAATGCTCTTTGATTTTAGGTGAACTATACACCCCAGTAACTACAACTCGCATATGTCAAGGTCTATTTTCCCCCAAGAGCGCCTCAAGAGCGCCCCTGGGCAAAATCAACTATACTGCAAATGCTTACTTTGCGTGATGGGTTGAGCCGCCCCTGCTAACACCCCAAAACAAATGATACCTTTTTCAAATAATCCAGGCACCGCTGGGTACCCAAGTTAGTATGGATCAAAATAGTACTTCCTTTGTATTGTCGAAGGCTTTCATGGCCAGAATCACTGGATTGTTGTAGGTTTTTCAGGCTGTATTGCCGTCTTCTAGAAGCATTCTCTCCTGACGTTTTGCCTGCATCTGTGGCAAGCATCCTCAGAGGTTGTGAGGTGTGTTGGTGAGAATGCTTCTGGAACATACAGCCCAGAAAACACACAACAACCCAGATTTTATTTTAATTTTTATTAAAAGTATTATTTCTTTTATTTTTTCCTGGTTGCTTGATTTCTGGTTAACTGATAATCTATTGTAATACTTTTATATTCATAATATTATGATAGTAATTAATTTGGATAGAAACCTACAGCAACCCAGGGATTCTTTTCATAGCTGTGCCTTGAAAGTTTCCTCTACTTCTGGCTGTGAGTACAGCTGGATTCCTTATATAATTTGTCAGTTGCGTAATCCACGAGGTCTGTAGTTGGGATTTTATCTGTTCTAATAGGCACAATTTTGGGAGCCAACATCTGGCTGTGAATACAACTGGATTGCTAACATGGATTAAAATAGTAATTTCTTTCAAAAATAAGTGCCTTGAAAGTTGACTCTGGTTAGGAGTGAACCTGGGTGCTGATGGATGGTCACTTTGTGAGAGCTGGTTGGAGGGACACTCTACCCGTCCAGCCTAAAAAGAGAGCTGCTATATAGCAAAGCCCCCCTAAAAGGAGAGCTGCTAAGCTTGTGAGCTGGTGTGCTGTAGAAGGCTTTCATGGCTGGAATCACTGGGTTGTTGTGTGTTTTCCAGGCTGTATGGCCATGTTCCAGAAGCATTCTCTCCTGACGTTTCACCTGTATCTATGGCAGGTATCTTCAGAACTTCTGAGGATGCCTGTCATAGATGCAGGCAAAACGTCAGGAGAGAATGCTTCTGGAACATGGCCATACAGCCCAGAAAACACATACAACAACCCAATACTGTTACTAATCAACTAAAAGATATTATCTAACATCCCAAAACAAACAATGCCTTTTTCAAATAACCCGGGCACCACTGGGTACCCAAGCTAGTATGAATCAAAATAGTAATTCCTTTATATTGTTGAAGGCTTTCATGGCTGGAATTACTGGGTTGTTATAGGCTTTTTGGGGTGTATGGCCATGTTCTAGAAGCATTCTCTCCTGACATTTTGCCTGCATCTGTGGCAAGCATCCTCAGAGGTTGTGAGGTTTGTTGTAAACTAGGAAAATTGGGTTTATATATCTGTGGAAGGTCCAGGGTGGGAGAAAGAACTCTTGTATGTTGGAGCCAAATGTGAATGTTTCAATTGATCACCTTGATTAGCATCTGATGACCTGACTGTTACTGCCTGGGACATTCCTTTCTTGAGAAACTCAAATGCAGGGAAACTCCAGACAAGAAACAATCAGGAACACCTAATCTGACTTCAAACTACAGGAAAGGAGATTCCACCTGAATATGAGAAAAAAAATCCTGACCATTCAGCAGTGGAACTCCCTGCCCCAGAGTGTGGTGGTGGCTCCTTCTTTTGAGGCTTTTAAACAGAGGCTGGATGGCCATCTGTCAGGAATGCTTTGAATGCAATTTTCCTGCTTCTTGGCAGGGGGTTGGACTGGATAGCCCAGGAGGTCTCTTCCAACTCTACGATTCCACAAACCTCACAATCTCTGAGGATGCTTACCACAGATGCAGGCGAAACATCAGAAGAGAATGCTTCTAGAACATGGCCCTACAGCCCGAAAAACCTACAACAACCCAGTGATTCTTTTCATGGCCCTGCCTTGAAAGTTTCCTCTGCTTCTGGCTGTGAGTACAGCTGGATTCCTTATGTAATTTGTCAGTTGCGTAATCCAAGAAGTCTGTAGTTGGGATTTGATCTGTTCTAATAGGCACAATGTTGGGAGTAAACATCTGGCTGTGAGTACAACTGGATTGCTAGCATGGATTAAAATAATCATTCCTTTCCAAAAAGTGCCTTGAAAGTTGACTCTGGTTATGAGTAAACCTGAGTGGCTGGTGGAGGGTCCCTTTGTGAGAGCTGGGCGGAGGGACACTCTACCCGCCTAGCCTCCAAAGAGAGCTGGAGTATAGCCAAGCCCCCCTAGAAAGAGAGGTGCCAAATAGCCGAGCTGGTGAGCCAGGTCTCTCCCTCTGAGAGGCGGGAAGAGGCGGAGTGGAAGGGGCTGCTTAGCTCTCTTTCTCTTGGAGGGAGAAGGGACGGGCGCCCGAGGCAGGCAGGCAGGCAGGCAGAGGGAGAGGCGCCGGGAGGAGCGTGCTTTCCCCCCTCATCCGCGGCCATGGCCACCGCCGACTGCACGAGTTACGTGACGGCGGAGAAGGTGCTGGTGGGCGCCTTCAGCTGCCCGCGGGAGGGCGGCGAGGCCGGCGCCATCTACTGCTGCGGCTTCCAGGACGTCAAGTACTGCTGCGACGACCCCCACAGCTTCTTCCCTTACGAGCACAGCTACATGTGGTGGCTCAGGTGAGGAAGGGAGCCCGCCCGCCTGAATGCATGTATGGGCGGATCTGGGTGGGTGGATGGGACCGCTTAGAAGTTCTCGCCAAAGAAGCTGGGGAGATTGCCAGACGTTGTGGGAGTTGTCGCTCAACACATTGGGAAGGCGGAGGGAGCACACGGGAGGCGAGGACTGGGAGCCATGGGTTCCAATGACAGGAAAGGAGATCCTTGAACTTCCTGACCGTAAGAGCTGTTCAGCAGTGGAACTCTCTGCCTCAGAGTCTGGTGGAAGCTCCTTTAAAGCCAAGCGTGGGCAATGTTGGTCCCTCCGGGTGTTTTGGACTTCAACTCCCACCATTCCTAACAGCCTCAGGCCCTTTCTCCCCCCCCCCCCCACTAAGCCACTTAAGCGAAGGAAGGGGCCTGAGGCTGTTAGGAATGGTGGGAGTTGAAGTCCAAAACACATGGAAGGAGGGCCCAAGTTTGGCTATGCCTGTTCTACACTGGCTATATAATGCAGTTCAGCTTAAGCAGCTGGGGGGGGGGGGTGAGGGGCCTGAGGCTGTTAGGAATGGTGGGAGTTGAAGTCCAAAGAATCTGGAGGGCCCAAGTTTGCCTATGCCTGTTCTACACTGAACACATAATGCAGTTCAGCTTAAGTGGCTGAGGGAAAAAGGAAGGGGGCTGAGGCTGTTAGGAATAGTGGGAGCTGAAGTCCAAAACACCTGGAAAGACGGGCCTAAGTTTGCCCGTACTTGTTTTAAACAGAGGTAGGATGGCCATCTGTCTGGGGTGCTTTGATTGTGCTTTTTGTACTTATGTATTTACTTGCATACTTACTTAGGCAATCCCTCATAGTCCGAGGAGGATGGTCCTCCAAGTGATGTGACTTGGTGGTGGATACATAGGTGGTTGTGGAGCCCCATTCTTGACCCGCACGTTCTCCCGCAGTGAGGGCATTGGTTTCCAGATGGAAGGCGGTCCCAGTCTGGGTTGGCTTGACGCACCTTCCTCTTGGCACGTTTCTCTCTTTCACCCTCCATTTGTCCCTCTTCAAATTCTACAGCACTGCTGGTCACAGCTGACCTCCAGCTAGAGCACTCAAGGGCCAGGGCTTCCCAGTTCTCAGTGTCTATGCCAGAGTTTTTACGGTTGGCTTTGAGCCCATCTTTAAATCTCTTTTCCTGTCTGCAAACATTCCATTTCCTGTTCTTGAGTCTGGAGTATAGTAACTGCTTTGGGAGATGGTGATCGGGCATTGGGACAACATGGCTGGTCCAGCAGAGTTGGTGGCAGAGGACCATCGCTTCAATGCTGGTGGTCTTTGCTTCTTCCAGCACACTGACGTTTGTCTGCTTGCCTTCCCAGGAGATTTGCAAGATTTTCTGGAGGCAGCGCTGATGGAATCATTCTAGGAGTTGCATGTGACATCTGTAGATAGTCCACGTCTCGCAGGCATGTAGCAGGGTTGGGAGGACAATAGCTTTATAAACAAGCATCTTGGTATCCCTACGGATGTCCAGGTCCCCAAACACTCTGTGCTTCATTTGGAAAAACGCTGCACTCGCAGAGCTCAGGTGGTGTTATATTTCAGTGTCAGTTGTGACTTTTGTGGAGAGGTCGCTGCCAAGGTAGTGGAAATGATCAACATTTTCTAATGTAACACCATTAAGCTGTATTTCTGGCATTGCAGAGGGATTGGCTGGTGACTGCTGGAAGAACACTTTGGTTTTCTCGATGTTCAATGAGAGGCCGAGCTTCTTGTATGCTTCTGCGAAGGTGTTTAGAGTGGCTTGTAGATCTTCTTCTGAATGCACACAGACAACGTTGTCATCAGCATATTGGAGTTTTATAACAGATGTTGTAACCTTGGTTTTGGCTTTCAGTCTGCTGAGATTAAATAGCTTGCCATCTGTCTGATTTCCACTCTGGTGGGAAGCTTCCCATCAACAAGATGAAAAATCATGTTTGGAGTGCTTTGATTGTGCTTTTTGTACATAGCAGGGGGGCGGACTACATGCACCATGTGGTCCCTTCCAATTCTATGACTATAAGAATCCGCAAATACAGAGTTCCAACTATAATGATGTTGCGTAGCGGTTGGCGCTCTTTAGTTTTTACCCAGTTTGGGCCCCCAGATGTTATTGCAATGCAACTCACAACTCCAAATCACTTACAATAGAGTCTCGTTTATCCAACATAAACAGGCCGGCAGAATGTTGAGTAAGCAAAAATGTTGGGTAATAAGGAGGGATTAAGGAAAGGCCTATTCAACGTCAAATTACGTTATGATTTTGCAAATTAAGCACCAAAACATCATGGTTTACAACAAATCTACAGAAAAAAACAGTTCAATACATGGTAATGTTTTGTAGTAATTGCTGTATTTACAAATTTAGCACCAAAACATCGCAATGTATTGAAATAGCTATGAATCCAGCCGCAAGCCAGACTGCATTGGATAATACAGAATGTTGGATGACTGAAGGTTGGATAAGTGAGACTCTACTCTACTCTACTATTCACCATGCTTTGATGTTGCAGGAAGGTTAAAGGAGATTTTCAAAGCCAGGCGTCATACCCACGAGACTTGTCTCATCATCCAAACCCCACTATCCTGACAAAACAGACCAAACTGCAGCTTTCTAAATGTTCACATGACTAGAGCTCTCATCAGCTCTAGTCATGAGGAGTACAGGAGTTGTAGTCTAGCATCTGGAAGGCCAGAATCCAAAACAGAGTCCAAAAGTGGCAGGCTCAAACCCAGGACCTCAAGCCATGGCTGATACCAAATGAGAGACTTCCTCCTGGGCACACAGAAGACTGGGCAACTTGGAAGGCACTGAACAGGTTGTGCTCTGGCACTAAGAGATGAAGAGCCAACCTTAAGAAATGGGGCCACAAAGTGGAGTCTACGACATGTGAGTGTGGAGAAGAGCAAACCACAGCCTGTCTATTACAATGCAGTCTGAGCCCTGCCTCATGCACAATGGAGGATCTTCTTATAGTAACACCAGAGGTGCTGCAAGTGGCCAACTACTGGTTAAAGGACATTTAGCATAATGCCAAGTTTTTAAAGTTTGTGTTCTTAAATACATTACAACTGTACCCCGGTTTGCTTCTGATAAATAAAAATCTGGAAGGCCACATAAGGCCGGATTCAGTCTCTGGCCCTTGGGTTTGACACGTGCTGTATGTGTTTTCCAAACATTTCATGTTGGTGGCACATTTTTTTAGACGTGCATCATTTTATGACACAGTAAGTTTTACCAGCAAGTCAGAGGTTATAATAGATATTGATATTGTAATGAGTGTCTGGGCACACGACCTTTCTATTCAGGCAGGCTTTTAAAGACGAAGGTGTATAAGACCATCAAGGGCTGCTGTGCTTTTGCAATGCGATTTTTGTGATGTGATTCAAAGCAGCCAAGCTTTGGAGCTGCAAGGCTACTCAATGCTTATCAAGGGTTTTTTCTCCCACCCTGGACATTGATTCCATAGCATTGACCTATGATTCCATAGTATTGAGCCCTGGTGGCAAAAGTGGTATCAAACTGCATTAATTGTACAGTGTAGATGCATCCACAGTCTTAGGACCAGGTTAGAATTGCCCACTGGTCTAGACATTATACTCCTGTTGATGTGACCTAGAATCATATTGGGCTTTTTAGCTACTGCATCATATTGTTGACTCATTGGTCAACTTCTGGTCTACTAAAATTTCTAGATCCCTTTCACATGTATTGTTTTCAGACCAGGTTATATTTATACATTTCATTCATTCTGTCTAGGTGTAGTACCTTACATTTATTCCTGTTGAAATTCATTTTGTTAGTTTTGGGCCCAGATCTCTACTCCACTAAGACCATTTTGAATTCTGATCCTATCCTAGGAACTATCCCTCCTAATTTGGTGTCATCTGCAAACTTGATAAGCATTACATCTACACCAGTGGGTCTCAACCTTCTGAATGCCGCAACCCCTTAATACAATTCCTCATGTTGTGATGACCCCCAACCATAACATTATTTTCGTTGCTACTTCATAACTGTAACTGTGCTGCTGTTATGAATTGTAATGTAAATATCTGATATGCAGGATGTATTTTCATTCACTAGACCAAATTGGGCACAAATACCCGATATGCCCAATTTTGAATACTGGTGGGGTTGGGGAAGGGGATTGATTTTTGTCATGTGGGAGTTGTAGTTGCTAGGATTCAAATCAAAGAGCATTCTGAACTCCACCAACAATGGAACTAAACCATACTTGGCACACAGAACTCCTGTGACCAACAGAAAATATTGGAAGGGCTTGGTGAACATTGGCCTTGAGTTTTGGAGTTGTAGTTCACCTACATCCAGAGAGCACTGTGGACTCAAACAATGATGGATCTGGACCAAACTTGGCATGAATCCCCAATATGCCCAAATGTGAACACTGGTGGAATTTGGGGGAAATAGGCATTGACATATGGGAGTCGTAGTTGCTGAGTGATAGAATTGGGCCAAATTTCTCACACAGGAGCCCCATTGGGCCAAACTTCTCACACAGAAGCRSCATGACCAACAGAAAATACTGTTTTTTTATGATGGTCTTTGGTGACCCCTCTGATACCCCCCCCCCCGGGAGTCCTGACCCCCAGATTGCTCTACACCTTCATCCAAGTTATTTATGAAAATGCTGAATAACAGTGGACTCAGAACTGAATCTTGTGGCATCCAATTAGGCACTTCTCTACAAGATGAAAAGAGGCTATTGGCCAGTAAGACCCTTTGGGTTCCATCAGTCAACCAATTACAAATCCAGCTCACTATAGGATTGTCTAGCCCACATTTCACTATCTTGTTAGCAAGAATATCACAGGGGGATCTTGTCAAAAACCTTACTGAAATCCAGATATGCTATATCCACAGGATTCACTTCACCTATGTCACTTTATTTTAAAAAAAACAGAAAAAAAATACTTTGGCATGAGTCAATTTTGAGAAACGCTTGCTGACTTCTAGTGATCACAGCATTCC